CTCGCTATCGTCCGCCCGCTACCGTCCCGACCCACACCCTGGAGGCCCTGGAAAGTAAAAACACGCTCGGCATGCCCGCCCCAGGTCGCGGCGCAGCGCTCGGCCCAGCGGGCCGGGGCCATCCCCGGGACCCCGCCCGCGAGCTGCGCCCTGCCGAGACGCTCTCAGGGGAGGGCCGCGCTCTTGGGTCGCCCGTCCCGTCGGGCACGGCGAGGGCGACGACCATATGTGGAAAAGGAGAGGGGTGAGGAGGACGAGGAGGCTCCTCGTCTTTCCCCTTGGCCTTCTCCTCCCCCTCCTCCTCCTCCTCCTCCTCCTCCTCCTCCTCCTCCTCCCCTCCTCCTCATCTCATCTCATCATCATCATCATCATCTCATCATCATCATCATCATCATCATCATCATCATCATCATCATCATCATCATCATCATCATCATCATCATCATCCTTCCCGTTGGATCGTCCGCGTTTCTACCCCCCTGTTAGGCCTACGGTCGGGAACGTTTGCTCAGCGTGTCGCGGCGGCGGCCCCGGCGGCACACAATGCCCTGCGAGCGGACAGGGTGTCGCTCCGCTCCGCTCCGCGATGCGGGATGCTGGGAAAGGCTAGAGACGTTGACGCTCAGGAATGGGGACGTGGATAGCGCGGCGCACCGACGCGCGGTGGGCCAGAACCAGCGGCGCGACACGCTAAGCCAGAGTTCCTGACCGTGATCGGGGTTGTGCCGGTGTGCTGCTTCGACGTTCGCCTCTGGCCCTGCTGGAGTGCCTCGGCGAGCCACCTCGGTGTTCCCTCCAAGGGGTTTCATTTGGGCCAGGTGTGCCCCAGCAGGGAGCCGAGAGACGCTCTTGCCCCAGTAAGCGGCACACGAGCACCAGGCCTGTCTCGCTTCCTGTCCTGGGTGCCTCTGACCGTCTTTCAATCAGCTGCTCTTCATCGAAGCCCTGCTCTGCTCTGCTCTGCTCCGCTCCGCTCCGCTCTGCTCTGCTCGGCTCCACTTAATTGATGCACAGGTATTCCCTGCCGCACCCCGAGGCCGGTCGAAAAGAGCGGGCTGGGCGTTCCGCCCGAGACTCCCCCCGTACAGCCAGGGCGTTGACCTAAGAAACCCCAAATAAGGAACGAGGCCCCTGTTTCCCATAAGTTACACTTCGACTTCCAATGGAAGACCTCAGGAAAACCTGAGGCAGACTGTGAAACACTCAAGGAGCACCGAGGCCCTCCCAAACGAAAAGGGTTCCTTCGTCAGGGCCCCGACTGTATCTCTGATCCTGACGCGTCAGATCAGCAAGAGCTCCACGGATGGAGGGCGGTCCGCTTTCAAAGTGTGGCTCTCGCCGCAGCGCCGCGCACACTCGCTCTGCAAGCTTTGCCAGAGCCGCACGGATGGAGGGCGGCCCCTTTTCGGGCGTGGCTCTCGCGTCGCCCGTGGCTCTCGCCTTTAGCGCCGCGCACATCCGTGTTCAACATACAAGGCCAAGAGCTTCACGGATGGAGGGCGGCCGGTCTCAAAATGCAGCTCTCGCCTCAGCGCCGCGCACACCAATTTTAAGAATTTTGGGAATTCCACGGGTGGAAGGCGGCCCATCTTCAACATCCGTCCTGGAAAACGCAAGAGCTTCACAGATGGAGGGCGGCTCCTTTTCAAGATGTGGTGACGGATGGAGCGCGGCTCCTTTTCAACATGTGCCTCTCGCCTGAGCGCCGCGCACATTTGCCTTAAGCGTTTGCGACAGTTTCAAAGGTTCTCATGGTAAGCGTCCCAGAAGCGGCGTTTTGGCACGGTGTCGGAATATCAGGGCGCAGCAGTCACGTTGACT